GCGTTCCACTAAACTTGAAGAATCTCGTTTAATTTGGCATATTACTCTCAATGAATATAAGAAAGCACTGCGTAAAGCGAGAGCAGCCTACTACTCTTCATTAATAGATGAGAATAAGAATAATGCAAGATTTCTTTTCAGCACTGTAGCCAGGCTGACAGAAAGCCACAGCTCGATTGAGCCTTCTATTCCCATAGCACTCAGTAGTAATGATTTTATGTGCTTTTTTAACGATAAAATTGTTACTCTTAGAAACAAAATTAATGACCTCTTGCCTTTGACCAGTATAGTGTTATCAACAGCTCCCGGAAACGTAAGTTCTAATATTACACTAGATAGTAAACTAGAATGCTTTTCAGCCATAAACCTTGAACAATTAAATTCAATGATTCTCTCTTCTAAACCATCAACGTGTATCTTAGACCCAATTCCAACTAAGCTGTTGAAGGAAGTTTTTCCATTAATTAGCACTTCTTTATTAAATATTAAGAATATGTCTTTATTATCAGGCTATGTTCCACAATCATTCAAAGTAGCAGTGATAAAACCGCTTCTTAAAAAGCACAACCTCGATCCAGAGGTTTTAGCCAATTATAGACCTATTTCCAATCTTCCGTTCCTCTCAAAAACTCTTGAGAAAGCGGTCGCAAAACAGCTGTGTGATTACTTAAAAAACAATGATTTATTTAAAGATTTTCAGTCTGGCTTTAGAACACATCATAGCACAGAGACAGCTCTGGTTAAAGTCACAAATGACATTCTAATAGCCTCTGACAAGGGACGTGTCTCTATTCTTGTTTTGCTCGATCTCAGTGCTGCATTTGATACTATCGACCATGATATCTTATTGCAAAGACTAGAGCACTTAGTTGGCATACAGGGAACTGCTTTAGGCTGGTTTAGGTCCTATCTATCTGAACGCTCTCAGTTTGTACGTGTCAATGATGAATCTTCCACGCAAACCAAAGTTAGCCATGGAGTGCCACAGGGCTCAGTGCTCGGACCTATTTTGTTCACATTATATATGCTTCCGTTAGGCAATATTATAAGGAATCATTCTGTACATTTTCATTGTTATGCGGATGATACTCAACTATATTTATCAATCAAGCCTGATGAAATTAATCATCTAAATAAAATTCAAGACTGCCTCAAGGACTTGGACGTGGATGACCTTAAACTTTTTGAAACTGAAGTTATTGTACTTGGCCCGAAGAATCTACGAAACAAATTATCTAAAGATATACTAACTATGGATGGCATTAATTTATCCTCCAGTGAGACTGTAAGGAATCTTGGTGTTATATTTGATCAGGATTTATCCTTTAACGCCCACATAAAATCAATTTCAAGGACCGCCTACTTCCATCTACGTAACATTGCAAAAATCAGGCATATCTTGCCTCAAAACGATGCAGAGAAACTAGTCCATGCATTTGTTACTTCAAGGCTGGATTATTGTAACTCTTTATTATCAGGGTGTACCAAGAAGTCAGTCAAGTCGCTTCAGCTGATTCAAAATGCTGCGGCTCGTGTACTAACCAGAGTTAGGAAAAGGGACCACATTACTCCTGTTCTGGCTGCCTTACACTGGCTCCCTATAGAATAGATAGAATTTAAAATTCTTCTTCTCGCCTACAAAGCCCTTAATGGGCAGGCGCCATCTTACCTTAAAGAACTCATTATACCCTACTGTCCTACTAGGGCATTGCGTTCCAAGAATGCAGGGTTGTTGGTTGTTCCTAGAGTCTCTAAAAGTACAATGGGAGCCAGAGCCTTTTCTTATCAAGCTCCACATTTGTGGAATCAGCTTCCAGTTTGTGTTCGGGCGGCAGACACCCTATCCGTTTTTAAGAGTGTGCTTAAGACCTTCCTTTTTGATAAAGCTTATAGTTAGGGCTGATTAGATTCAGCCCCTAGTTTTGCTGATATAGGCTTAGTTTGTCGGGGGACATCTTACTTCTTCCTTCTCTCTGTCTCTACCTGTGTACTCTCATGTTCCGATTAACCCAGCTTCCCCAAATGTATTTCTTTTTGGTGTCTATATACGCCGGGATCCGGAGTCATGGATGATCCTGCGGTCCTGTGTCCTGCATCGCGAGCCCTGGATCTTGAGTCGTGGCTGTGGTCCTGGATCATAGGTCCTGGATGGATATCCTCGTGGATTCATCTTCCTATTATACACACATGCATTTCCAAACATTTGGACTACCTATGTTGCAAATGTATTATCTTTTCAATTTACACACAGCATCTATTGCACGTCTGTCCGTCCTGGGAGAGGGATCCCTCCTCTGTTGCTCTCCCTGAGGTTTCTCCCATGTTCCCTTTAAACTGTGGGTTTTATTCGGAAGTTTTTCCTTGTACGATGTGAGGGTCTAAGGATAGAGGGTGTCGTATTGTCATACTGATATTCTGTACAAACTGTGAAGTCCACTGAGACAAATGTAACATTTGTGATATTGGGCTATATAAATAAACATTGATTGATTGATTATGACAATGCACATCTGAGGTCACAGGCTCCTCCTACAGCGCAACACAATACAACAGATAACATAGTGCAAGTATCTCTGCTGCTGACTGGGAGCACAGAGAGGGGAAAGATGTTCCAGGGAATCCATTTCTGTCCGTCATGCACTTATTGACCTGTGGTTTCAGCTGGCAGTCGGTGGGACAGAGGAGGAGGAGGAGGAGGAGGAGGAGGAGGAGGAGGAGGAGGAGGAGGAGGAGGAGGAGGAGGAGGAGGAGGAGGAGGAGGAGGAAGGGGAGGAGGAGGGGGATTTGTGGGCATGATATAGCAGAATCCAGCAGGGAAGTCCTAAATCACGGCGATTAACGGCGGAAAAAAAGAGGCACGTCAGAGGCTTTGCACGTCATTGAGTCAGCAGCGAGGGTCATTTTGAGGAGAGGGTGGTGACGAGCTGCAGGGGGGGGGGGGGTAGAGGAGGGGGTTTCTGAGTATGTATAGCAATGCTGGGATTAGTTGCATCAGGCATTATCAGCGAATCAAAAAACGGACTTCAAACCATGTGTTCATTAGAAGGGGAAATTAGTTTTAAGTGTGTCACAGTTATTAAAAACAGATAAGTTATTTTCAGAGATGAAATAATGCAGGGATGTATATTGTGTCATTTATTGCTAGCTATTATTACATACAGACTAACAGTGATGCATAATATAATCCGTTGACCCCAACATCGGTTCCAATAACGCAGATTAAAGGATTACGGTTTTAACCTCCTATTCAGTTACGTGATGCACAAAAAGGCAACACAAATACAACTCAATGTAAAAATGTTGGTTTCATAAAAACATCCACGTAATTCTGGGGTAATTGAAGTATTTTCACAGATTTAGGAAGTTGTAAAGTCCACTGATACAAGGTGCAATTGTTTGGAGATAAAGTGATGGTTATTATGAATACTTTGCCATAGATGACATTTAAAAAAAGAGTAAAAATGAAAGCGTGAAATACAGTCTGTCAACAGGTCCTTTCCATTTCAATTGGTCACTGACTAACACCTGGAGCTGCAACTGAATGTAGACACTACCTGGCAGAACAGAAAGACAGACACACATGGAGTAGTCCGAGTATACAAACAATTAAATGAGTAAACTTTAGAAAGCTTCTTAAGAATGACTTAATTGAACTGAACATTAAGAATCTTTTCAGGATCCAGACGTGATGCCAAATCATCTTCTGTACATTAAAGGGTTTGGATATTGAAGTATCGAGCAAAGCATTACATGGAGCATGAAAGTTGTCCAGCGCGACCTTTGGTGCCTCGTCAGATTAGAAGTTCATTTTTATTACTGTGACAACGAAATGGGAGCGAGTTAGTTCAGGCAGTCAACTCGAGCACTTGTGCTTGATTCACACATAACGCCCCGCCCCCTTGCCACTTTACATACAACGAACCAATCAGAGTCTCCTAATATGCCGCTCTATTGAACCTGCCAGATCTCAGACCTCTCTCCATGCATTGTTGCTGCTGCTACTTCCAGGTCGCTGCTGCTCGCCTGCCCCACCACCACCCCAGCTTCCACCTGTAGGCTCGGGGGTTAGTTATTTAATCAACACTCATCGTGCTATGTATATCTGTGGAGTGATGATGCCAAACTCAACTACATGCTGCTTCTAATACACATGTTAAAGAAACACATGAGTTGTCTGACTGAAATGCAGTTAGCATCTGACCAAAACTGTAAGTGTATTATAAGTAGATAGGAAAAGCCAAAGTGTATAGCATGAACAGTTTTAATAGGAATACAAACTATAAAGTAGTTTATTTAGATGTTCTGAATACAGTGGTTGTAGAGGTAAAGACAGTTTAATACACTTCGAAACCAAAGACATTTAAATATAATAAAAGTGTATTAATCAATATCTTTGAAAATCCACCTGTTTCAACCATAGACTGTATATATAAAGGTTTCAACCGAACTTTGGCCAAAAATACAACAACAAAAACCCCTCTGTTCTGTGTAGCACTGACTGTAGTTTAGCTTATGGAGAGCAGATGCACCTGCAGGATTCTCACTTTCTGAGATATTCTCTTCATGGTTTATTGCATTATTGTAATTTGCTTTGGACAAAAGCATTAGATGAATGTCAGTAATCGTTGAAGGGAACATGTTGTTGGCTGCAGAGGGAGAGCAGAGTGTCGCAGCAGATAACACGGTCATCCTGAGAGAGTGTGTGGAGCTGTTGAGAGATGCTGCTGCAGCTCTATCTGATGCCCTTCATCTGATGCAGGGAGCGGGATGATGACATCACCGTGTGGTCGCCTCGCTCGTCTGCACCAGGTCTGCACCAGGTCTGCACGTACACCTCTGGGTGCCGTGGCAACGCGCACGACGAACAAACTGACTGTGAGCAGAAGGGAGGAGGAGAGAGAGAATCATGCAGCTTTCTGCGCACCCCCTCCTCTCTTTCCCACATTGCTGTGCAGGAGAAGCCCCCTCCCCTCTCACCCATCCCCCCCTCTTTCCTCTCCCTCAGCTCGGCCAATCAGGCGTGTCGGTGGGGGCAGGGCAAAGCAAAAGCACCATTCCTGTGTCTCTGCTGCATCTCCCCAGAGCTAACAGGGAGCTAGCAGATCAGAGGGAGGAGACACGCTCAGACCAGCCTCTGTGTGTGTTCGTGGGGTTTTATGTGTGTTTGTGTGTGAGTGTGTGTGCCCTTCGCAGACTAGCAGGCACGGCCACAGTGCTACACTCCTTTTTCACCAGGCTTCTTCTCGTTAACCTTGCCTAGCTCAGCTTCAGGCCTGCTTCTTCTTCCTCTGTTCAGGATACAGAGGGGTCAGCGAGGGGGAGACAGAAACCCGTTTACTCTGAAAACACCTCGTAGTTTGTGTGACAGCTCCAGGCAGGATGATAGCCGCTCAGCTTCTGGCCTACTACTTCACCGAGTTGAAGGATGATCAACTCAAAAAGGTGTGTAAACTGTGTGCAAGGCTTCTGTTGTGTGTGCGTGTGCGCGCGCGTGTGTGTTGGACTGCAGAGCTGTTATCCTATTTTATTTGTATTTACTTGCATTATTTTAACTATTCTGTTTTATTGTGTTGCCCTGTTGGAGAAGCCTGTGACCTAAGATTGTGAAGAAGTGTAATTTGGATTTGCTCTGTGTTTGACATGAATGTCCTTGAGAAAAGGGCAGTAGTGTCCGTATTGATGAGGCTGCTCTCAGACCCTCGTTAGAGTAATTGTTTCCGGAGCGTCAGTTGCTGGGGGAAGCAGACAGGTGTCTTTGAGGAAGAAAAAAAGGCGTGAGCTCTAAAATCTCCTCCTCCCTTTTTGGCTCCTGGATCCTCTCGTGTTACTTTCAATCATACGAAGCCAGACTAAATTAAATAACTAGGCTACTTCTCCAACCTTGTACTTTTCTCCAGAGTGCCGTGGTTAATTGTTTATTAATGTGTTTTAGCGGCATTACCGACCGCTGTAAAGTCTTCACTGTCTGACTGTCACACAAGCAGCTGATACAGCTGGGGGGGGGGTTATGTATCAGCTGCTTGGCATCACACAACGCTGTTACGAACGTTTCTCTGGTATAAAATGGTTGATGTTGGCATAGCAACCGAAGCTAAACTGACTATCTTCACTACTTCTTGCTATCCTATTGTGGCATAAGCCGTTTTCTACAGGCTCATTTTACCGGCGTATTTTTCATTATGATTCTACTTGTGATAGTCGGACACGACAACCTGTGCAGCCCATGTATTGATTCCATCCGATAGCTGCTATAATACAAAACAACACGTCTGCCTCTCTCCACAATGATCAATAACAGTGAACGGATGGTCAAAGTAAGGTACAAATAAACAGAATCACACTAAGCCTGGTTAGTGTTGCCTGACTTTATAAAGTGTGTTTTTTCTGTAAGTGTGTGGTTGCGTTCTAGTCACTTTGCTCAGCGCTACTGCTTGTTACAACTTGTATTTGCCGTAGGCCTACTCGCCATAAACTGTTAGCTCAGGTTAATCTCGCCCCCCTCCGACGTAAGCGTGACGTATGCGGTTCTTGCTTCTAGACCACCGACAATTTGTCCGAGCTTGGTAAGAACCGGTTTTGGGGGAAAAGAGCCGGCTGCGGTGTGAACAGGAAAAACCGGAATAACGCCTCATTTACAGAAAGTGACCTTCAATTTAGGAGATATTAGCCAGTGTATTGGATGACAGACGGGTGACATGTTCTCAGGGAGTGGGGGATGGTGGGGAAGATAGATGAAAAGGAGTGGGAGATCTATAATGCGTGATGTCACAGTGCCGTAGACGCACGAGCCTCTGCAGAAGTAGTTAGTGGAGTTAAAAACATAGTCTCTAGTGGGGTGACTCAGGATACTTCAAAAGATAAAAGCTAACAATGAATATGTGGTATGCTGCATATAAAGACATGTATATGTTAGCAGAAGCTTGATTGGCTTTCTGTCCGCTATAGTGTGGAAAAAGTACAGACAATTAGAATAACTGCCTCACAGTTTTGGGCCGCTGCTAACCAATAGCGTCACAATTTACAACCGTGCCGTAACAACATGTCATCACCTTTTAAACACTGAAACTGTCATAATTTATTGAACTACTTCTTGATCAAGAACATTTTTCATGAGTGACCGGGTCACAGTGACCTTGACCATGTACACCAGATCCTTATCAGGTCATGTCGAGATAAATTGGATGTTTTTAAACATGAAGGAGAAATTCCCTTAATTTGTTCCTGACATTTCACTTTCACCACAAAGGAGCGTTCCTGAGGTCACAGTGATCTTTGACCCCCCCCCAATATCTAATCAGTTTATCCTCAAAGGGGCCTTCTTATGCTTGTGTTGTTTTCTCTTTCCTGTAGTGTGTTGTATAGGTTTGTGTGCATGTAAATGGTCTGCAGAGGCTAAAATCCCTGTGTTCCTCCAGAGGGGGTTTCCCCCCCCCCCCCCTCGCCTGAAACGACTCCATTGGACTCCTTTGTTTAATTCATGAACAAAGTGACATCACTAATGCCCCGGCCACACGAGGACGAAAACGGCCGTTTGCGTTACTGTTTAGTGTCATATCGACCATTCGGCCACACGAGGACGACCGCATACGGCACTAAACGACTGAGGAAACGATAACGGGTCCCAAGGTGGATAGAACGGCATACGCAACGCTCTGGGGGGTCAAACAGCTCCGTGTGTGCGCCCTATACGATCATTTTCTGATAATGATTGCGCAATAGCCCGGCCTCTCCCCACCTCTGCTGCTCACCTCCGCGTACCCCGCGCCATTGCTGATGTGTTTCGCCACCAACAACAACAACAATGGCGGATCGCAGAGTTGCTATCGTGCTCCGGACGCTACTGACCATGCTACAGTTCTTTGTGCAACATCTACAGCAGACTTACACATCCGGGGGGGATCTTACTCGCTGCTTTTGTGGATATGTACTGCAGCTTCAGCGATCATTTTCTGATAATGATTGCGCAATAGCCCCGCCTCTCCCCACCTCTGCTGCTCACCCCCGCGTCAAAGTAAACTGCACACTGAATTCAGATTATTTATCTTTCTCTCGATATGGACATAAACGCGAGTGAAGTCTAATCTGACAGGACGGAGACACCTCTCAAACTACCTAGTTATAAATATGTTTATTTTTACTATCGGCCGGGTCACTCATTACTGGATCAGCTGCTGCATGAGACAGACACTGACGCTGTCCGAAGAGAGGGAGGAAAAAGAGAGGCTCCGTGTATTTTATTATTATAATATATAGAGTCGTTATTCATTTGTTTTAAAGCTCAATAAATGACAAAGAAGACCTTTGACCGGCACTTTTATAATTTTGTCGCAAGGTTTACATTTTAATACACGTTGACTGGCGAAAAACTCTGCCCGGTTCCCTCGGCCCCCACCGCGGAGAATAAACAGAAGGGCAACCATGACAACCATGCTTCTTCGCTGCTTTTGTGGAGGAAGTTACAGCGCCACGTACAGGCTCCTGCATATGTACTGCAGCTTCTCCAGCGGTTGGAGCTAAACGGAGCGGTCTCGTGTGGGCAGACACTATCCGGATGACTATTGCGTGTGGACGGAAGCTTGTTTGCGTTTGCGTTAATCCTATGCGTTTAGCCGTTTTCGTCCTCGTGTGGCCGGGGTCTAAGTAATACTCAAGCTTCTATCGGCTAGAGCTCCACCAACACTTTGTTCTTGAAAAGCTAAGGGGCGGGACATCTCTAAGCGGTTGACCAATCACAACAGAGCCGGCCAGCTAACCAATCAAAGCAGACTGGGCTCTGGTTTCAGACAGAGGGTGAAAAGAGGTCGTTATGAGATATTGTGAATTCAGAATCGGACAGACAGACGACAGACGACCATAAAACATGACGCCTTTGGCCTCATCTGCACAGACATTATAAGACGGTGAAAAGGGAAGATATTATTTGGATTTGTTTCAAAATCAGTTCATCCTTGGCCTTTCCTTAATGCTTCTCCCTTTATAAGAACTGGGCCAGTAGCTGATGAGAGAAAACCTGAGCCAAAACATAACCTCCCTGTCTGAGGTAATGGTCATCTTATTTAAATATACTTATATTTCAACCCATGCTACTCTTCTTTACAAAGTCATGTTGAGCAGCCAAGCACTGTTCCAAAGTATCACGAGAACATAAACACCCCAGGCAAAATTTAGGGTATGCAATGAAACAATTACACTTGATGTAACACTGCTGCTTTAATAACATGGCACTCACACTATGGGCATCATACAGCTCTGATTACATGTTGGAAGAAGCAGGATTGATGTGATACTGTCTTTTCAACGAAAGAAAATGAGGAGTTGAAGAAGGGGAAAACATAGACATGGATGAGAAAATGGAGCTCCTGGAGGGACATGCCATTAAACCGCCACATCCTCCTCTTTCTCCCATGTCTACACAATCCTCTATCAAACGATGGTATCCGTCCAAATATCTGTCTTGAGATACAGCCTCACAAGCTTGACAGCCACAAGCTCCTGTAAATACTGTCCTCACAAGTCCTCAAGCGTCACATTGCATTGGTTGTGTTCAGAGGCCACCATGAGGAGCCTGATGATAAGAGAATGTGTGGAGCGTGGTTTTGGCACAGAGCGAATCTCTGCCTGATGGCATGCAGTGTGTGATTATGTAACAACAGTGGTTATGCAGGGCAAATCCCCCCCCAAGACACCTTTCATTAATTAGATGCTTACGGTAAACTGCAATTTAACCACATGCAATGCTGCTAAAGTATGTGTCGAACATCTTGTGTTTTATTTAATTTAGCCTCTTTTGTCTCAACATGTTTCTACATCAGTGTCCTCATCATGATATAACGCACAGCGAGGTGACCTGACGTAGAAAACAGTGGACCTACCACATCATTCATTATCTCCCGGGTATAGGAACATCTCATACTGTGTTGCATCTTACTTAACTAATTGCATGAGAGATATGTTGGGTTGTGAGGTTGAGTGGTAGAAAAAAAACCAATAGATTGATTCACTTTAAACAAATTAGCACACGAGGGAGCAGAAACCAGGACACTGATGACGATTGTAAAAAAGGTAGTGTTTAAAATGGTCAGCTGAAGTTAACATCTTTAGGGGAAGCTAAAGTAAAGTCACTTTATCATCATCATTGTTGTTGTTTAGAGATGTCTGTGTGTATGGCAGATTGGGGGTGTTACCTTGATTGTGTATATGTTGTATTTGAGGCATAATTGTATATTATAAAAGGACCCCAGGATATCTACTTTGTCAACCTTTTATAGGCTGCCTTATAGCTCACTTGGTACATCCATCCATCGCGGGGGTATCAGTTCCAGCAGAGAGCCCCAAACGTTCCTTTCCCTGGCGACATCAACCAGCTCTGACTGGGGGATCCCAAGGCGCTCCCAGGCCAGCGAAGAGATATAATCCCTCCACCTGGTCCTAGGTCTACCCCTTGGTCTCTTCCCAGCTGGACGTGCCTGGAACACCTCCCTAGGGAGGCGCCCAGGTGGCATCCTAACTAGGTGCCCGAACCACCTCAACTGGCTCCTTTCAACGCGAAGGAGGAGCGGCTCAACTCCGAGTCCCTCCCGGATGACCGAACTTCTCACCTTATCCCTAAGGGAGACGCCAGCCACCCTGCGGAGAAAACCCATCTCGGCCGCTTGTATCCGCGATCTCGTTCTTTCGGTCATGACCCATCCTTCATGACCATAGGTGAGGGTAGGAACGAAAATGGCCCGGTAGACAGAGAGCTTTGCCTTCTGGCTCAGCTCCCTTTTCGTCACAACGGTGCGGTAAAGCGACTGCAGTACCGCTCCCGCTGCTCCGATTCTCCGGCCCATCTCACGCTCCATTGTTCCCTCACTCGAGAACAAGACCCCGAGATACTTGAACTCCTTCACTTGGTACAGCAAGCAGCCCAAATGTTTGGGTCCCTGTGCGCAGGAGCTGGTTCGAATCCAGTTTGGGCCGCGTGTTATCGATCTTTTACTTCAATAAAGGCACTGGTGGTAGCCCAAAAATATCTTTAAAAAAAAACTATTTTAAACAGATAAACTTTTGCTATAAATTTAAACAAGAAGTGATTATTTTTTTCTTGCGAAGAACGAAGCACAGAACCATCCATATTATTTTTGACAATTAGATGTAATAACCTCTTACTAAGACATACAAACATTTAGAAAGATTAAGGACAGAAGGAAGGATACAAAATTAAGAAACTACCGTATTGTTCCTAGAAAGAAATCTGAAAAAGGGGTCGTCTTATAATCGGGTCAATACGGTCATCTGAGTCCTCCCTGACCCCCTGTGTTTGTTCCTCAGATTGATACGTACCTGTACTCCATGCAGCTTTGGCAATTAGATTAAATAACCCCTTACTAAGGCATAAACACATTTAGAAAGATATCACAATTAAGGACAGCAGGAAGGATACTAAATGAATGAACACTTGTTTGTAATAGTCTGAACCCTCCCTGACCCCCTGTGTTTGATCCTCAGATTGATAAGTACCTGTACTCCATGCGGTTCTCCGATGACACGGTGAAGGACATCATGAACCGCTTCAGGAGGGAGATGGAGAACGGGCTCGGCCGGGACACCAGCCCCACCGCCACCGTAAAGATGCTGCCCACCTTCGTACGCTCCATCCCTGACGGATCAGGTACACAAACACACTTATTTTATTAATTCAATTTATTCTATTATATGGTGCCTTGGAGGAGGAGCTCAGGTCAGAAGAATTTCATTGCCATTTCTACACTGTAGCTATATGACGATAACACCGAAAACATACAGAAAAAACATTCTCGTATAATGCCCAAAATAATCTAAAAGTGGATTATCTCATAAACAACGGGACTAAAATGGTTTAATCCTTAAAATGCTTTGGTGGAAAAAGGGCCAAGATCAGTTCCATACTTTTTCTGGTTGCAATGTATTTAAAATAATGACTTGAGGGGAAAATGTAGGATAATAAGTTGTGCTAAGTTGGTTGAAAAACTTTGACAAATCAGAGTAAAAAGAACTTGATCTGAGGCCGCTAACTGTTCTAGGTCATGTTCTCTTTGTAATATTAAACTAGAAGTTAAATATTGAACTTCACTTCCTGGTGTCCTGCAGCTGAAGGAAACTCCGATGCGTTTCTTGGCAGGATCGCTCTATTGATTCAGAAAACAACGTGTACGAAGTAAAACAAAACTATTGTGTTAAAATATTTAGCGTAAGCAAATAGCGTTGACATTGAATACACCAAGATGACAAGGGAACAATACAATGAGATTCATATACGACGTGTAGTAAGAAACACAAGTATTAAAGTAATACTGTATTGTTTTAAGAAGATGTTAAAGTCTTGAATTCAAATTGTACTATTTGCAAATAGATACTTTCTTTCTTTCTAGTATCTTAATAATACAGTATTTAAAAGACACAAAACAAGAAAATACTTTAATTAACCAAATGACGATAGCATAACAAAGGATAAACATACAACCTGCATTAGAGAAGTGTTGCATATTCATAGTATTTACGGATATTTTACTGATAATAATAATTATAGTGGGAATGTCACTATTTAGCACACAAGTTGTAAACATTAAGAGGACAAAACCATGCGCATTAAAGCATCATTAATACTACATAAACTGCTGCTGTTTGTGTCTCTGTTGCAGAGGTCTAAAGTAACTAAGTACATTTACTCAAGTACTGAACTTAAGTACAATGTTGAGGTATTGAGTATTTCAATTTAATGCTACTTCATACTTTTACTCCACTACAGTTCAGAGGTAAATGGTGTACTTCTACTCCACTACATGTATTTAATACCTTTAGTTACTTCACAGATGTGGATGAATGATGTGAAATATGATCAATGTTGAATCAGACTTTAGTTCCACCTGTAGTAAATCCACCAGCTACCCTGCAGTATACAAAGTCTTTCAAACTAGCTGCACCTTTACCAGCTTTGAGAACACTTTCATGATCAATCATTATAAAACATATCATATATATTATTCTGAAATGGACCAATCTGCACAACGACTACTTTCACTGTCGCTACTTTCACTATATTTAGATGAGAATACTTTTATACTTTTACTTGAGGAACATTTTGAATGCAAGACTTTTACTGTAACAGAGTATTCCTACACTCTGGTACTTCTACTTTTACTCAAGTACAAAATCTGAGTACTTCTACTTTTACTCAAGTACAAGATCTGAGTACTTCTACTTTACTCAAGTACAAGATCTGAGTACTTCTGCTCAAGTACAAGATCTGAGTACTTCTACTTTTACTCAGGTACAAGATCTGAGTACTTCTATTTTTACTCAGGTACAAGATCTGAGTACTTCTACTTTTACTCAAGTACAAGATCTGAGTACTTCTACTTTTACTTAACAACAAGATCTGAGTACTTTTACTTGAGTAACATTTTGAATGCAGGACTTTTACTGTAACAGAGTATTCCTACACTCTGGTACTTCTACTTTTACTCAAGTATAAAATCTGAGTACTTCTACTTTTACTCAAGTACAAGATCTGAGTACTTCTACTTTTACTCAAGTACAAGATCTGAGTATTTCTACTTTTACTCAGGTACAAGATCTGAGTACTTCTGCTCAAGTACAAGATCTGAGTACTTCTACTTTTACTCAAGTACAAGATCTGAGTACTTCTGCTCAAGTACAATATCTGAGTACTTCTACTTTTACTCAAGTACAAGATCTGAGTATTTCTACTTTTACTCAGGTACAAGATCTGAGTACTTCTGCTCAAGTACAAGACCTGAGTACTTCTACTTTTACTCAAGTACAAGATCTGAGTACTTCTACTTTAACTCAAGTACAAGACCTGAGTACTTCTACTTTTACTCAAGTACAAGATCTGAGTACTTCTACTTTAACTCAAGTACAAGACCTGAGTACTTCTACTTTTACTCAAGTACAGGATCAGAGTACTTCTACTTTTACTCAAGTACAGGATCAGAGTACTTCTACTTTTACTCAAGTACAAGATCTGAGTACTTCTACTTTTACTCAAGTACAGGATCAGAGTACTTCTACTTTAACTCAAGTACAGGATCAGAGTACTTCTACTTTAACTCAAGTACAGGATCTGAGTACTTCTACTTTAACTCAAGTACAGGATCAGAGTACTTCTACTTTAACTCAAGTACAGGATCAGAGTACTTCTACTTTAACTCAAGTACAGGATCAGAGTACTTCTACTTTAACTCAAGTACAGGATCAGAGTACTTCTCCCACCTCTGCTGTGTTAGGTTCAGTCTCTCTGTACTGTACGCGTGTTGAAGCCTAGCAATGTGCTGATGTGGGGAAATGGTCGCTCTGGTGTGTGTCTGCATCCTCTTTGTGTCTCTGAACTACATCACTAGAGTTTTAGGCCTCGTGGTAAAACCGCTCAAACAGCCTGAACTCACTCAGTGTTTTGTTTATACATCTGTAACCCATCACATATGGTTCATTCACAGCGTCAGCCTGTTATCTGCTGATGCTTCTGACAGACAGGTGTTACAACTAATTGTATTACATTAGTTTTACGCTTAGTTTATTCTGCTGAAATTAAGGATGGCAACTTGAACGTGTAAGAAATTAACTTTACCTGTGGGGGATATCCTGATTAAAGCTCACAGTAAAATAAAGTGGCAGTGTTATTTAATATAACTTTAATCAAATTAGAAGCAGAGGTTATAATTAAAATATGACTGTGGCAACGTACATAGTCAATTTATGAAAAGGATAAGATATAAGGGTTTGGGGTGATGCCCTTCAAAGTAAAATCTGCCTTACAGATGGTATGAATAGCTATGATAACATTTTTGAGTTAATATAGTTATTGACTAACTCAATTGAGATTATTTGTATGTTTTCAAACAACGAATAAGTATAAAAAAAGTCCAAATAAAATCAAAATACATGTCCAAAAAGTTGTAGAAAGAAGGTACACAATTATATGAACTATTACCCCTTCTCCATTACAATTAACTTCATATTTGTTCATATAAACTTAATATTCATCATGTATAATACATATTAAAAGGCATATTATAGCCTGAAAATGTTAATTCCATTATATTTTAATAGTGGGTGACTGCAATAAAGTTTTAGAGAAAGAAATGTTGACTTAAATGTCAGTATCATTCAAAGATCTAGGAGACTATAATGTTATACATGGGAAAACCAACAAGAAATACAAAATGAACTCTACTAAATGTCCTCCATGAAACCAGCCGTCAGCACAGCTCTTAAAAATTCACATTGGTCAAAGTCAAGTATCTCGCTCCTCAAAGTCCTCATCTGTTCACTGCATGGTTTGTCCCTGAAGGTAAACAACGCCTGTACACAGAAATAACATCGAGTGCCTGCTCTCACGGTATAAATAGCCTCAGGATTCAACAACTACATGAGGTCAGAGCGATCAGGCAAAGGGCAGAGTTGAAGCCATGCAAACTGTTCAAATGAATACATATTACAAAGCCTGATTATAGGAGACATGATAGGGAATGACCGTAGCAAGAGTACTTTTACCCGTACTTTTCCCGTTTAGTTCCGATAGTGCCTGGAATTTTGCGTTCACACCAAAAAGAGAACTTAGTTCAGAGAACTTTTACCCCTATTTGTAGTGCCTGCTAGAGAGGTGGTACTATCCTGGGGAGAAAAAAGTACCAATTTCAATTTGCTGGGCGAATTGCAAACCACGCCCCGTAAAACTGTGAGAAGTTTTGTGAAGCCGCCATTGTATTTGCTGGCATTATTAGCATTAGCCCCGCGCACCAACAGAGAGAGACTAACTTATGGCAACACAAAAAAAAACATGGGAGCGGTGGAGATGAGGAGGTGTCGGCGTTCTGCCGATTTACCCGGAAGTCCCCAACTCCGGGGACTTCCGGCCGGGGACTTCGGGCGGCAGTATACGCCGTGAATTGGTTTGCGGCCTGCCAGTAAACCCAAAGCAGAAGAAGAAGAAGTGACGTCAGCGGCTTAATTTGCGTAATCTTCCCTCAGGGAATTTATTCCGGTGTGAACGCGATCTGTACTTAGTTCCATGGGGGCACTAAGTGCTGGGTACTAAGTGCTGGGTACTAAGTGCTGGGTACTAAGTGCTGGGTACTAAGTACGGCAAAGTACTTGGTGTGAAAGCGGAACAAGATACTTTTTTGTAAAAGTTAATCTGATTCTTCTGGAAAGACTTTCTACGTGTCTGAGAGCAAAATGAGTCGATTAAGTCGTGGCTTATCTCTGAAGATGTCATTTCACAGTCTAATCTAACAGTAGAGGGGTCAGCTATAGTGATACAAATGTAGAAAAAGCCCTTTGTTGTGGGATGAGTCCTGCTTTAATGTAACCAAGATCATGTTTTATGGTGAAAAGTCTGTACAAGAAATCTGCTGAGGAAGTGCTGTGATCGACATTTGTCTTGAGCACAATATGTGAAAAACTATTAGGACAAGTGTACAACATACAGCACAGAGGCGATCAAACACTGAATAGCTGTTCCTGAAGAATTGCATCATAAACAGTATCAAAAAGGGGGTTTGACAAAATCAAAAATAACTTAAAAACGCTGGCTTACTAGCTTTCAACCACATCCCACGGGGGTTGGAGTTTACTCCGTATCATGGAGAACTGTCAAACACTAAATAGCTTTTTTATTGGTCTAAATATTGTATTTGACCTCTGCCATAGGTGACAGAAGAGTCACCTTCAGATTTGTTATTTTTTTCTTTTTAAGCGCAAATGCAACTTTTCAGAATCAAAAAGACTTCACTTCACCACCGCTAAGCTAAAGGCGGCTAATGTTGAGTCGTCTCATTTACTCACTCTTTAGCAACCGCCGCCTTTTAAGACACGTTATAGTTGGGTATTTACTAACGCATTTCATCGTGTAGAGCAAATCATTAAATGATCCACATCTGTGCTCCCGGGTGTATCTGTGTGTTTTCTTCCTTGTATGTTCCTGCCTGTGTACATGACATAAGCTGCTGCTCATAACCAATTGCCCCTTGCGGGATTAATAAAGTTGTTGATTGATTGATTAAAGTCTCTTCAGCTTGAATTAACAACAGATCTTTCTTCAGGCATTAATAGCACGCTTCTTACAGACATTAAAGAAATCCATCGACCTGAAAACAAGTGCACCTGAAGGAGTAACATGCCAACTCATTACCATGTTTTGAGACTCATTCCTTCTGTCATCATCTGTTGATTGGTGACAGGCTGCAAAGTAATATTGGTTTCCATCCATTGATGATATCTGACCCGAGCACATACTCTGCAAGAGCAAGTCAACTGATATTTATTGGCTTAGAACGCAACCATTCAGTGTTGTAATCAAACTTCAACACCCGGCATAGCCTGGTTCTATTACTATCTGCAACTCAATTCACCCACAGAGTATATGGGCTATAAGAGGCAGTAACGCCAGCCCCTCTACAGACGAGACTGCTCTTAAAGTTCAATATTAAGCCAGAGAGAATCAATACTAAAGGGCAGGCTCATCACGGGACAACAGACGAGGCTTTGTAGTCCAGTGTGTGTTTCCATTGTTCAGACGTGTGCCGAGTGAGAGGAGATACATCTTCAAAAACAAAGGCGCCTTTTTGGATCTTAATGGCGTCCATCTTCAGCTGCTCCTGCTAAGATTTCTCGTGATCATGTCTCTTGAGTAAACCCGTGTTTGCTGGCAGATTTTAAATCCAGACAGCATTTCTATTTTAGATCCCCAAACATCCTGAGTGTCTCATACCGTAGCTTCTGACTGACGAGACTAAATCAAATATATATAATACAAATACTTTGACAACCGCTTTCTCCAGTGTCTGTTAGTTCAACACCATTAGCTTGATTATGAAACTACCTCATTAAATCCACCACTACACTTCTGACTTTCTGCAGTCTTATTGTAATATATCCTTAAATAACTTTATCTGTGCTTGTGCATCGTCTTTCATACTGTAGTAGACTTTTCAGAGAACTAGTCAATCCAAAATTGACATATATTGTGATCAGGCAACCGTCAAAACTATGGCGCCCAAAATACCTAAAACAACGGGCCTAATTATTTGACTTACTATAAAATAATACGTGTAATAATGAGTTTGGAAAGATGTAGGACTTTCGCCATCTATCTCACGCACCAGAGGTGGGAGAAGTACTCAGATCATGTACTTTAGTGAAAGTAGAAGTACTTAGATCATGTACTTTAGTTAAAGTAGAAGTACTCAGATATTGTACTTGAGTAAAAGTAGAAGTACTCAGATATTGTACTTGAGTAAAAGTAGAAGTACTCAGATATTGTACTTGATAAAAGTAGAAGTACTCAGATCTTGTACTTGATAACAGTAGAAGTACTCAGATCTTGTACCTGAGTAAAAGTAGAAGTACCAGAGTGTAGGAATACTCTGTTACAGTAACAGTCCTGCATTCAAAATGTTCCTCAAGTAAAAGTATAAAAGTATTCTCATCAAAATATAGTGAAAGTAGCGACAGTAAAAGTAGTCGTTGTGCAGATTGGTCCATTTCAGAATAATATATATGATATGTTTTATAATGATTGATCATGAAAGTGTTCTCAAAGCTGGTGAAGGTGCAGCTAGTTTGAATGACTTTGTATACTGCAGGGTAGCTGGTGGATTTACTCCAGGTGGAACTAAAGTCTGATTCAACACTTGATTATATTTCACATCATTCATCATCTGTGAAGTCACTAAAGGGATTAAATACATGTAGTGGAGGAAAAGTACACCATGTACCTCTGAACTGTAGTGGAGTAGAAGTACAAAGTAGCATAACATGGAAATACTCAATACCTCAACATTGTACTTAAGTTCAGTACTTGAGTAAATGTACTTAGTTACTTTAGACCTCTGCCACAGAGAGACGCAAACGGCAACAGTTTAAGTAGTTTTAGTATTCATTATTCTTTTATGTGATTGGATTTGTCCTCTTATTTTTACAACTTTGAAAAACAGTGACATCCCCATTATTATTATTATCAGTAAAATAACAATAAATGCTATATATATATATATATATATATGCAACACTTCTCTAATGCATTTTGTATTTATACTTTGTTTATGCTATAGTTATAGTATACATAAAATGGGAATGCTCAAGTAAAGTACAAGTACCTCTAAATTGTACTTAGTTCACCATGTACAGCAACCTTGGGTCCTGTGAAAGGAGCTTTATAAATTCCATTTATTATTATTATTATTAGTTACTTCCCACCTCTGTCAGACACCCATTCACAAAAAGGTGTCCGTTATCAAAACATAATTAAGTAAATACTAGATTACACAAGTATTTGAACAGTTTAAAATCTGTTAGATATGCACATCATAAATAAACATTTACCAATGGCTCCAGTTGTAGTTAATGACTAACAAGACACCGCCTTCTCCTCTCTGTGTTAACACCAGGCTTTATGGGCTTCATTATGAAACTAGCTCGATAAACACTGAGAGCCAGCATGTGTGTGTATATATATATATATATATATATATATAAACTTAGCACGTAGGTTACAGCAGGACAGAGGTTATGAAATGGACACACGCTCTGCAGATAATTAGGAACACTTCTACATGTCAGGCGCTCACATCTCATTCCTCTCAGGTCAGGGTCAGAAATAGCAACAATGCAGCGAAGCACGAGAACATTGTTTGGTTGAGAGGCAGGATGTCCTGGATGTCTGCTAGTAACAGGTCTGACACACACACACACACACACACACACACACACACACACACACACACACACACACACACACACACACACACACACACACACACCTAACCCTAACTCTAATCCTAAACCTAACCAAGTCTTCACCCTAAAATTAATGATTCCCCTCATGGGGACCTCCAATTTGTCCCCATATGGGAAGCCAGTCCCCACACGTGACTGTAAACAGATTTAGGTCCCCACAAGTATAGTAATGCTAGGCCACACACACACACACACACACACACACACACACACACACCCTCTATCACGTGTTGTGCTGCAGTGCAGTGTCCTTTTGCAAGAAACCCAACCCCTCTGTAGATCAGTGTCAGATACGTGCCTGAAAGCTAAATTAATCATTGTAATTCCATCAAACTGTGTATAAAAGAGTTTCTGCAATATATATATACGGATATGATAATCTTGTTATTTTGACTTATGAATAAATAACTTTTAAGAGCCTGTAGATCAGTAGTTTGAACATAATGGTGATGAAAATATGTCACAAGTACCAAGGTGTGTGTGTTTTTAATGAAATGTACTTTATGAAGCACTGCGGGAAATATCTGCTGAGGATTGAGTTCCATCTCGGCTTTTTGCCTCCACTCTACCTGAGGTCATTATTCCATGATTTACTTCCCTCTAGTGGCATGTAAAGAGTCACACATGAGAAATAAACCAGACGAAACATTTAGTGTCATGCCATTGTTAATAAAAGAATGCTTGATATCTTTCTATGTGCTGGGAGTGCAGTCACAAGCACAAAGGACACATGTTCTGCTTCTACTGACTTCCTTCTTGCAGTTTCATGTCCTTTGTGTTTGTTGTTGTAGTTTTAGTTTCAGCCACACGAGGCGTACGTTCTGTCATGCCTTTCTAAATGAATGTCTAGCGAAATGACATGCTGTGTTATCTAATCATATACAGTGTGTGCCTTGGGGTTAGAGATGACTTTTAAGGTAATAAATACAACACATATATATGCTGCTGGTATTAAAATATAACGTTCATCTGTGTTTTTATTTCTTCAGAGAACGGGGACTTTTCATTTCACATTCTGTTCTTGTATATTTAAGCCATAGCTCACGACAGGCCGTGGTATAGGGTCATTATATCACAGTTCAGGGGCGTGGTGTGGCCCGACGCGAAGCGCAGGAACTGCTTCGATAGCGTTCTTGATTACAGATTTGAAAACATCGTTGCTTGCTTTAAAAGTAGCACAATTCATGATGTGGAAGTATCTAGATGTCCCTGCCCTAATGCCAAAGGAACTGCACACTGAATATGTTTTGATGTCTATGTCTGGACCGCTGCGTAAAAAGGAGGGTTTCTGCCCCGTTACTTCTCCGCTGCTTTCTTGTCCCAGTGTGAAAAGCAAACTGGATGCATATGTTGCCTTGTTGGAGGAGCTCAGGTCAGACTGATTTAATTCCCTTTTCTACACTAGCTTTTGTGCATCTGACAATTAAACCTTTGAGTCTTGGATCTTTGAATCTAAGGTGTCTCTGTGTTGAAATGTTTCCACAGAGAAGGGGGACTTCATCGCTCTGGATCTCGGAGGCTCTAACTTCCGGATCCTGAGGGTCAAAGTGACTCAGGACAAGAAGCAGCCGGTGCAGATGGAGAGCCAGGTCTACGAGACTCCTGATGACATCATCCACGGCAACGGGACGCGGGTAAACACGATACATATCATATCTCCCCACCTCTCTCCCCTTTCCTTCTCTCCCTCCCT